ACAATTATTATGAAATGAACATAATATTATGAAACTCGTTATCAAAATAATAAACAGGAACGTTAAAAAATGTCGTTGCACCATCACCTTTAATAGAGCCTAGGAGTGTACAAATCAAAAAGTGAAAAGGTATTACACTCTGCCCTCTTTTATTTATATAATAAATACCTAATTATTATTTTTATAACTAAATTAGTGCTAAGATACCGATTATTATAACACGATATTAAATAATGAAATCTTACTTTAAAATGTGTATATATATTTATAAAATGTATTATTAAATTTATATTATATAAATCTACTCAGTTTATTATATCGTCCAATTCAATAAAAAAAAAAAAAACTATTTATTTAAATAAATTCTAACAAATTGTAAAGAATGTTTTTTTTTTCAAACACTTTTCAAGATGATACTTGCTAAAATGTATTATTTAATATTAATTTAATAATTTACGTTTATATAATTTTTTTTGTATTTTATAACGACATGGGTACCCAAATGGGCTATAATATTTAGTTATTTTCTGATAAAAACTTTTTTAATTTTCAACTTATAATATTAATTATAAAAGCTAAATATTGAGTTTACAAAAGTAATGATGAATTTCATATAAATTCCGTTTTAAAATTTGATTTTTCTAAAAACAAATTTAAATATAAACTAACATAACATTACGTTTATATATTTGAATTATTTGTAGTACCTATATTCACTCTAAAATATAATATTACTATTAGTTATATAGCCAGTAATACTAATAAAATTGATTGATAAGTGTCTATGAATTTATAAAAATATAAACGATGCCCTAAAAGCTACAAACCACTTTTTCGTTAGATTATTTGCTATAAATTAAATACTACCATACAATTCAGCAATAGATCTACTATACATCTGATGTAACTGATGTAAATATCTCTTACTCATAAAATGTTTACATCAGAGTATATTAAATAACACAAAATTAGTTAAAATGTTTTTTGTAGTAATAATTTGCAATTGATAGAGTATTTTGTAAAAAATTTTAAAAGTATTTGCACTTTGATTGTTTAAAATACTTTTTTAAAAGTTACATTTAAAATTGTATACATGTAAAATGTATATTTTTCAATTAAATAGCCTTTAAAATTTATTTTTACAACACCAATAATCGTTATTATCTATTACAACCATATAGATTATGTCGTATCATCAATAACTAATAACTAATAATACTATACTATACAAGTTTTTATTCACTCATTCATAGTCAACTACCTAAACTAACTTAAGATTTAAATATTTACCTAAAAGACCTAAACTGCAAAATTGCATGTAAAAACCCATTTTTTTTAATTAATAATAATTAGTACAACCTCATAGAGTGTATTGTAATATTTAGATATTATTAAATCGTAATAGTCTTTGAATTAAAAATCACTTACGAATAATGAATAGTTTACTCAAAGTTCACGACGACAAATTTTGACAACACTTGAATAATACACCCTCAATATTTCTTGTCAATATACATAAATATATATATAGAGAGAGAGAAAGAGAGAGAGAGAGAGAGATATTTTTGTTGGAACCGGTATTGATAATCCACAAACGTCTAATATGATGTCAAAGTATTAAAAAATATAAAAATCCCGACTGATCTAACCAGTAATTTTCTCACTGCAAAACACGTTCTCCACGGAGACGATAAAAACAATTTATAAGCAGTTGAAACGGAACACACGAAATGTTATATTATCATCTTAAATTATAATATTATTAATACGTGCAATATTAAAGGTCCGATGAACTGCGACCGTAAGGGCGGTAGACGATCGGAACGCGAAACGAACGACACGCAACCGCACACAAGACTGAAATCGGTCCACGAAACTATATCAGCGGCGGCCCGCCGTGACGCCTTCAACCCCGCACGAAAAATTCCGACAGTGGTGCCAGGCGGCTACCCCAAAGACTATTATACGTGACACACGCACACACGCACACACGCACGCAGATATTAAATATATATAATATATATATATACATATACCCGTATACATAATATAAATATAGATATCCATATATATGTGATTATATATCCATATATATATATAATTATATAGATTATGGGCATATAGCTGTGTGTGTGTGCAGACGCGAAAAGAACAAAAAAAAAAAAAAAAAATTAATGGAAAAAAAAATATCTGCGCACCAATGTCAACACCTGTACTCGTAAAGTACGCTAAAAAAGTGTATTATTATACATTATATTATAATTTTATCTTAATTTTTTCGAGCCTTCTGACTATACGTTATTACATCATGGACCAACTTTACTGCGTAGTGCATATCGGTACCTGTTTTTGAGCGCTAAAAGTTATACGCTGTCGCCATGCTCCTTATTTATGTAAAAATAATTTTTTTTTATGGTTAATTCATTTTTTTTCTTTTAAAAACTGCTCGCCGCGTACTTAACAATAAAATGTGTGTATAAGTAGTTGGCATACATCTTGTGTAATAGGTTGTTGTATATAGATACATCACATTATTATGTTATTGTTCAAATAAATAACACTAAAACTTTTTTTAGTAAACGATAAATGCATTTTTAAGTTTTATCACAATTTGTATCATAATATAATATATATTTCATGTGTATTACTATTACATACATACATATACAGTATAAACTAAACAATATAGCTATATAGGTGCTATAGGTTTAATGGTACACACTGTATTACTCAAAATACAACGATCAATTATTAAAACAACTTTTTTTTTAATGTAACTTATTTAATCTATAAAATTTTTCATATACGCATAATATTGTGCAATTATTTTTAATTTCTATTATTATTATTATCGCCTCAAAATATTTAAACTATTATAGCGAACTGTGATTACTTAAATATATAATACTTTAATTATTTATGTACATAACAACTATAAACAAACACGACAACGTGTCACAAACCTAAATTAATTAATAGTTATAACTCATAAGACACATGTTAAAATACGATATGACAATAGGCCCACAAGATATTCTTAACTTATTCAGTTGTATATTATTATGTTGATTGACAAGATCTGGGATAGTGTGTTTTTGACACAAGACTCGTATCTGCATAGGTGACGTCCGACAGGCGTACCCTGCTGAGATAAATATAATATGTGTGGGAGGTTGACCAATTATAAACTATAGACATAGATATTTTGAAATAATATAGTAAGGATAAGCAGTCTAGCCTAAGAGAGCTAGCCCTTAAATTGGCAGGATTGTGTTGAACGCGGCATCACAAAATTTAAAGTAACACCTCTTCTAACGAACACCACATTATTTTACTTTTATGATTTATTTTGGACTTGGTAAAATTTCAATAAAACTTAACACTTAGAAAATATTTAACGACCTGTGTTGAAATTATTTTAAATATTTTAAACAAAAAAATGAAAAATATAATATGAACTTACTCATAATAAGTTTTAAAATCTAAAGATCTTAGTAGACATTTACTAATTTCATACCACTTTAGGTTAATTGAAATTTCTGATAATTTAGTTAAAAGTTTTTATTCTTTATATACTAAATAAACTAATTGACTATTAATTAAATTATGATAATATTTTAAAATTTCTCAGAGTTTATTATATCACTTATAATTTTCATTTTCCATTATCATAAAACTTCAATGCTACTATTATTAAATAAAATTTAATTGCATGATAAATTTTACGTAAAAAATGTTAAAAATTTTTATAATCAAACAATTAAATAAATATAAAATATAGATAAATAATAATGATAAAATACATTTAATCATCAATTTTCTTCATATCATTGTAATTTTTAAAAATTTGTAAACATTCAATAATCATTCTTACAAAAACTATTAACATCAAAGTTATAAAAATATATGTAGGTGCTTATTTTATTTAATGTAAGATTTGACTTTGAAATTTTAAAATGGTTTTAAAGATTTTAAAAATATTTATTTTTTTACAATATTTGTAAAATAGATAAATAAACGAAGCTACTACTCAGTTGTATGTCTATGTGAATCTTCAAATAAGTAAAACAGAATGAAGAAATAATATATGTAAATTTTCAATTTAAATATTAATATTATATAATCTATAATAATAATCAAAAATCGCATGCACCATTTATGTCCGTGTTTGCAATCGTTTTTCTATAAACTTAGCATAATGTTTAAAAAACAAAAATAACGTAAAAACAATTAACGGCTTACTTAAAAATTCACGATCAATTATGTATATTGTCAATCACACGGAAAGATGCAGGGACACGAATCTCGCTTAGCGTACTGTTACAACTACGGTACGAAAAGTATTCTTCCAGATTCCTATAACAGCTAAATGATAGAAATACAGAATATTATTTTACATAATTTGTTACAAAAGAACCCTATTTATCCCGTAACACATAATCATTATAAATTATAATAATATAGTCGTAGCCGTCTAAAGGTATAAGTTATAAAAAATTATATTTTTAAAATAATACTATATCAACTTTCGCTTTCAATCAAACGACTTTTGTTGAATTCATATCAACAATTCAACATGAAATCGTTTTTAATATTAAAAAATTGATTTTAAAATATCTTGAACGTTGCCAAATAACGTATTGTTTTGTTATTTTAGCACAATATTGTATAAAGTATTATTATTTATGTGATAGTACTAGGCAAATCAAATACATTGGCAAAATGTCAATAGCATATTTTTATATAGTATAAATAATATACTTATACAACTATATGTACGTAAATAATAGTACTACATTTTCACCGAAAAAAATTTTAAAATTTAAAAAATGTTTTATGATAACGTTTAGCGATTTCTACGATATATTTTATCCCCACCACTTTCCCTCAATCGATAAACAACAAAAAACCGGTATCTTTGTCGTCACCGATGGGGTCTCCACGACGTGCTTACGCATTACACAGTACGCACTATACAGTGTTTTACAACACGTCTTGTCGACAGCTGACTGTAATGTACTTACGTTCTTTAAACTACTATAATACAAATCGATTTTTGAGTTATTATTTTTTTTTTCAATAGTGTTTATTGTTTTCAATACCATATAACCGACTCAAATATGGTGAAACTGTGAAATGAATATAATATCATATAACACTATATACATAATATAAAACAGTCACAAAACATCGCTTCGTAGTGCCAATACAAATATACAATACCTACATGTTTTTTTCAGTATCGTATGATGTCAGTGAGTTTAGGGTATTTAATCATAATAATTTTTTATAATAAATAACTATACTTCAATAATTATTGTACACTATATACATATATAAATATAAATATAAATATATATATATATATATATATAATATATATATATATTATATATGTATATATGTGTGTGTGTGTGTGTGTGTGTGTAATATATTGCTGTAGTATAGTATACCTACATGTTTACTGTAAATTGATACACATAATCCATTTAGTGTATTTGCTAATTCTGTGAATGATTCCTTCGATGAACATCAGTATTATAATATAAAAAAATAATATTTGTGTTTTATAATATCAGTTATAATATCTATGTACAACAACTATAATATTAATATTTGATGACATGATACCTACACACCGTGGTAGATGTTTAAAATAATGCTCAACTGAGTAGTCGATGTAATACCATTTGCAATCCTACATATTATAATACACAATATATTATATACAAGTCCTAGACACATGTTTTGGCTTGCTGTACGTCAACACGAGTCACAATGACGTGTTTTTCAAAATTAAGTAATTACTTCACGTATAGATGTATAGCCGTATAAGTGAGTATATGAATAATATATTATAAAATATCAATCGTAGCACTGCATACAATATTAAGATTCTAAAAATATCTTTGAATATTGAATGAAGTATAATATTTAATTTAGTGAGAATAAAGTACTGAATATTAAAAACAAATTATTATACGACAGGAATATAAATTAATTATATTATCTTTACTAATTTTAATTATGCCATACGATATTACATAATATTATCTATTATGTATCACAATGCACTTAGTTTAATATATTGTGTAATATTTTTAATATTTTTAATGGATAGTCATTACAAGCTAGGTAACCGTGCGTATAATTGTAGTTGAATAAACTGTTGAATGTATAATTGCGAATTATTTGACTAGAAATTACATATGTAAATATTAATAACATTGAGTTTTAAATGTACTTAATAATATGTATTTACTACCTATTTACTCCTATTTTGTTTTTGAGTTATTAAAAACGGGATATAAGGTAAATGTATATTTACAGGCCTATTAATACTATACAACATTTATGTGTGCAACATTGTCGTAAAATATGTATAAACATATTTTTTCCCCATTTTATAAGTTTTACATTGTGGTAAGTGTATTGTTTGTACATCGTACCTATCAATCTATATTTGATACATTTTTCAAACTTGTTAACCTTGAACATTTATTATGATAATACTTTTAAAAACTAATTTATAAATTTGAATATGCTATAGCTCTATAATGTTTATAATTTTATTTATTGTAAATTTCATTGTGAAAAAACACATAATTTTATAATTATTGATCATTCATTCGTATTAGTATCCATATAATGTATAAATGTAAAAAAGAAAATCTTTATAACGAATAATTTTTGAAACTTCTTATTAAAATTCAATTGTCATAAAGTTATTTTCAAATAATAAAATATATTCTAAAAAAAATAGTGTCAGTTTTAAGCAATTTTTATGAATCAAAATTCTATTTTCAAAAAATAGGAATATAAGATAGCGCCATTTATTCAGTGAAATAAAATTTAAAAAAATGCTTAACTCCTACAAAATAAATAAATGTGAAATGATTTTTTTATTAAATGAATTATCTTAGAAACTACTGGATCCATTTCAATATAATTTGTATCAATAGATTCATTGAGATCTCAGGTATATTTTTAGTATCTTTTATTAACCACTATAGGTTGCTGTTATGGGGGTTTACACTTGAACTTCGTTTTGACTAACAAAAATCGAATATTTTTTATAAAATAAAATAACATTTAATTATTATTTTTTGTTATTCAAATGTATTTTAAATTATAATATCCGTAGTTCGTAATTCATGAACTTCAAAACTATGTTAACTATCGACCGATTTTAATGTGTAGATTGAACACACTAAAATTGTGCAACAAAATAAGATTGAGAGTATTATTTTTAAATAAAAGCTTCGAAACTGAAATCTCTGCCAATCACCAATAGTCAAATTATTTATTTTACAGAAATACCTACCTATGATTATATGTTTATACACCTGATAAAAAATTAATAATATTGTTTACAAAGAAATATTAGAAAGTAAATATATTTAAAAATTTTATAACTTAAAAAATAATATATGACCCGACACAGGCGAAGCTACGTAAAAAAAATTATTAATTATTTACATTTTTACCCTAACTGCTATTATTTATAGTAAGCATTTTTCAGTTTGATACAATGACTTTAATAATTATTTATTCAAAGACAATAGGTATTCTTTCTAAAAAACTATCATCCCAAAACAAAAATAACCTTAAGGCTCAATCTAGCATAATGATAATTTTCTATTGACATAAGCAACGTTGAACGGGACAGCTAGGATTACATAATTTTAACCAATTGCTGATTATTATAAAAATCTTCGAATTGTTTTGATCTTAAAAATGAAAAAACTGTATTTATTTAGCTTACTATAGATGTACTAATCAATATTTTAATAATATATTTTATATGTCTGAGCTTATAAATATGCAGAATTTACACTTTCTGGAAGCAAATTTAGTACATTTAGTTAAGTATAGCACAACCATATTTCAGATCAGAATGTTTTAAAAGTATCTTAATGTATTTACGTAACACTCTTGTTAAAATTTGTCACCAGTTGGCATTATTTGGGGAAGAGACAAACTTAAAAATATTTTACCTTGAGAAATTTGTAAAAGTTTTATAATAATCATTTCAGTAAAAAATTATCAAAAATGTTTTTTTCATAAATTTTTATTAAATAATGTATGAATGCATTAAATACATGTAATTTATAATTGGGGATAAATTTTCGTCAAATTTGGTAGTTATCTATTTCTTACAGAAATCATATATAATTTTCCTGTTTTATGCAGTCTATACAGCCTATACAAGTACCATTCACCACTCTTCTTATTAATAATACACCTATTAAGTATGAATATTATTATTTAATATACGCAGCGTTTATTATAAGATACATTATATATTTAATATATATAATATAAAATATTATGTATATTATATTATGTTCTATAATATTTATTTATAAATACACGCTCAAATTTTCGTAAGAAAAATTATTTAAAACATTTAAATTGAAGTTTTACTTTTAATTGCGTATCTAGGTTGCTTTTTATGTTTATGTTCAAATTTTAACAAAAAAAAAAAAAAATAAAGATTTACTTAAATTTTTAAAAATTATAATTATTACAATAATTTTATACGTGTAAAAGTCTCATAAAAAAAACATATTATAGCAAATCCTTGAAGCTAGTTAATCTATTTAAATATTTTATAATTTAATAAATTAATATCAATTTAATATTTATGAATGAATCATAAAGGTAGTTAGTTTGAAGATAATTAACTGAAGTTCAAATATATATTTGATTAATATATCGTTAAAATACATATTCTATTTTGATAGTTTACACCAATAATAATAAATAATTAACATTGAAACAAGTCAGAAATTTATCAATATAGAATCAAAGTTGTCATGCTGAACCCACTAGCTACTATTAATACATGCTAAAAAATTATCGTATATAAAACCTATTTACTCAATGAGGTAATATTAAAATAGCAATTAGTGCGTACGTACAACTATTTAAATTCAAAAGTACTTGATATAAATACATAATACATCAGTGATAGCTTGAAGCCAGAAAGGGTATATTCAAATCACAAACAAAATAATATCTTTGTTTCTTGGCATCTGAAAAACCCAAATAATTATTTAACATCTATAGGTATTGTAAAATAATTATTAACAGTACATTAAATTGAGTATATGAATCAATAAAACAGTTATAAATAGCTATTTTAGCCTTGTAGGATATTAGTAATATAGTCATTTGTAGTATTTATGGCTAAGTTTCATAAATGAAAGGCTCTTTATCTTTATAGTAGTACCTAAACATTAAAATGTGAAAATGGGTCATTTTAAAAGCTAATTTTACTATTTAATAATATCTTATTTAGATTACAATATTAGTATATTTATAATAATTATATATAATATATGAAATTATTTTAAATTTTAATCCTCGAGTATTTAATTACCAGCCAACATATGAATAACATTTAAAATTCTTACAATAAACTATAATTGTATATTCTATAACTATAAATTTCAAATATTTGTGGCTTGGCGTGGCGCGTTGGCTGCTACCAGTCGCGGAATGCGACTGAGAGTAAGTAACGGCCACAGCTACTAGCTCCCGGATGGGTGACCACTCGGGATCATAGTGGTTAAAAACCTTGCCACACATACACGTGTTTGCTATCAACCGTAACAATCATAAAAAATACAACCTACCGTACCAACCTACAACGTAACCCTTACAAACAGCTAATGGCCCTAGTTGCCGGGCTTAAGTTCAATAAAAAAAAAAAAAAAAATTTCAAATATTAAAAATAAATATAACAGTTAAATATACCTATAGGCTGTAACAATCATTATAATTTTTATAATACTATTATATTATAAAATGTTATCAAATTATCATTATATTTTAAATTGATTTTAGCAGAATAATTTTAATTAAATTCGGCGATTACTCAAATATTTTCTACTTATTATATTTGTTAAAATATTTTATATCTTATGCATTTTATTCTAAAATAATACATTTTTTTTAATGTTACAAGCTCATGAAATAGAGCTTAGAAATAACTAAGAAATTCTTAAATCTAAATTCTAAAAAAAAATATATCTCTTAATAATAAGAATAAATCATATTTAGGACGTTTTTGTGTGTACATCATTAAACTGTATAATATGGTATGTTATTATTTATTAAATCAAAAATTATCTAAAAATTATCACTAAATTAAATGTAAAAAATCTATTTACTATTTATTGAATTAAAACGAGTAACAATAACACAATAACCTTCAATTAGTAAAAATACAATTTTTAATAATTAAATTATACTTAAAATCAACAAGTTAAATTAACTATGAAATAAATTATGTTTAACTCAGTCATTGTCATGATTTTTAACAACATTCATTGTATACCACAATTTAAAAAAAAAAAAAAAAACATAGAAACAGTTTGTATCGTTATTATACATAACTATTATAAAAGTTCGTTCAATGTCCAAAGTCTGTACACCAATTTAGTATTTAATAGTATGGTAACCTATACAATGTGGTTTATTTATTTAATTTTTATGAATATTTACAATACTATAACCTAACCCAGTCTAACCAAATTAATTTCGGTAAATAAGTTCTTTTAAAAAATTTAGCACCATTGTTGATTTTGTAAAAAAAATATGAATTGGCGATATTTATTAACCTGACACATTTGTCTGCGTAAATAAATTGTTTCACTTTATATTATTTTATATTATATAATAATAATGCACTACTGTGTCACGGTATTAATATTATACATAACAGCAATTATTATGTATCACATGTTGTTTAGACGTATCCATCGTTTAGTAATAATGTCAATTTTCAATACATTTAAATTGATTGGCTACGACAATATTATTATCTAATTGTTGGAAAATTTATGTGTTATCGTAGACGCAGAACAACAGATAAAACAAGCAACTGTGTTCAGTTCAGCAAGATCATAATTTTTCAAGTATGTTGTTCCTTGTGGTAACTCAAATTACAATATAATAACACCGTAATCAATAAAAATGACAAAATAAAAAATTATTTTCGTGATACATCGTATACTAAGAAAGTATGCGATTGTCGGTCGTACCATATTTAACCAAACATATTATAATTATTTTCATTCGCGCTTTTTAACTCTAAACCGCATTAATATGTGATCACTTATTGTATGATTACCTGAGTAATATTTTTTACAGGTAGATATTAACTATTTGTGTACAATATTATTGAGTGCTTAATTCGTCCGTATACCTATGGTAAATCAATGCGGTTCGGCAGGCATTTACCACACGAATTCGCGTAAATAAATCATCTCATCTCAGCCTGAACGAGAGTGGACTCAAATAAACGACACTCGCGACCACTCGAAACACAACGATTAAATTAATTGTCGAAATGTGATTCATTTCAATTAATTTTCTTATCTGCAACACGTACGCTCGTCCAAAATACAACATCAGTGTATAACAATATGACACACATCACTCGTCGTCTTCGCCGCCGCCGCCACCGCTGCCGAATTATAACGCTGCAGCATTAATGTCAACACGTTTTAGATAAAAAATTTCAACGCTGTTGCGACCGGTGATTTTTATGAGGTCGAGAGCATAAAGTGCTCACTCCGTTATCACAGCAACAACAACAACAACAACAACAACAGAAACTACACCACCGCCGTTATCAGACATCGGAATAATAAATCAATCGAACCGCAGACGCCTATCTATTAGGTCGGTCTCGCACATCGTAACACGGTCGGTTAGCGCGCGCCCAATCAACACCATTTGTTCCGGCGCTACAATGTCGGACTCGTGCGAAGCGTAACGACAACAGCGACGGTAACACACGTCGACTTTCACCGCGCCACAACACTCGCTTAGCCGAAAACCATGTTGATCGTACGCAACGCGATGGCCCGCGTGTCCGTAGAGCCCGTACTGCTGTTCTACTTCGTTGCCACGGTGTTCTCGGGATGTCTGAGCACCAACCTGCTGCTGTACAAGGCGTGCGACCCGACGGGCGCGATGGCCGGCCAGGTGGGCTCCAAGTGCCCGGACGAGACGGCGGCGCAGCACGTGGTGGCGCCGATCAACGGCTGGAAGACGCTCGTCCAGCAGCTGGTGCCCATAGCGCTGTCCATGGCCGCGGGCACGTGGAGCGACCGGCACGGCCGCCGCAGGCCACTGATCGTGCTGCCGGTGGTCGGCCAGATACTGGCGGACGCGCTGTCGCTGTACTGCACCGTCGTGTGGTCGGTGTCGCCGGCGCTGACTGCCACCGCGCAGGCGGCCGCGCTGTCGCTGACCGGCGGCCCGCCGATGCTGTTCAACGGCATCAACTCGTACGTGGCCGACACGACCACGGAAGAGTGGCGGACGTTCAAGTACGGCACGGTCGGTGGCACCTTGGCCGTGGGCGGCATACTGGGAATGCTCGTCTACGGGTTCATAGTGGTCCACGTGGGATTCGTGCACGCGTACGTGGTGTCCATCCTCCTGGGCCTGACCGCGCTCGTGTTCACGTTCGTGTTCATCGACGACAAAGACGCCCGTCAGAGGGAAAAAGACGCGGGTGACCAGATATCGCTGTACCAGGACGTGATCCGGGCCGTCAATCCTTTGGACGTGCTCCGCAACTGTTACCGCGTGTTGACCAAGCACCGTACCGGCCACGGCAAGCTGGTCCTGTGCCTAGTCGTGTTCGTGTGCGCGCCGCTCACGTGCGTGCCGCTCGAGGGAGAAATGTTAGTATTATATCTATATTTGAGGTATAAATTTCAATGGAATGAAGTAGACTTCAGTATTTTCAATGCTTACCAGCTCTCCGTTGTATTAAT